GGGGAGAAATGCCAGATGTAGGTGATGGGGAGGAAGGCAGCAAATCACACTGCCATGTGTGTTCCTATGCAACAATTTTGCATGTTCTTCACATGTACCCCAAAACCTAAAATGCAATAAAATAAATAAATGGGGAAAAAAAAAACATAGAATGACTGGAAGGATTGCAAACCTTCAGGGACTAGGAAGCAACTTGTGCTAAGAACCATCTGATTAGGAAAATGCTATCCTTCTCTGTTCATCTACTCAAGTTCAAATTTCAGAAAGAAAGCATTTTCTGGCCTAACTTGAGTCACAATCTTTTGCTCCCCCTTTTAGGAAAGGGTCTTACCCTGTCACCCAGGTTGCAGTGCAGTGGCACTATCATAACTCAAGCAGCCTCAAACTCCTGGACTCAAGGAATCCTCCTGCCTCTGCCCTCTGAGTAGCTGACACTACAAGTGTGAGCCACCACACCTAGCTAATTTTTTCAATTATGTAGAGACAGGATCTCTCTATGTTGCTCAGGCTGGTCTGAAACCCCTGGTCTCAAGTGATCCTCCCACCTGCACTTCCCAAAGTGCTGGGATTACAGGTGTGAGCCACCACACCTGGCTTACATTCTTATGCTTTAATTGAGGGAGAGCAAGGTACATAACTATTGTCCACCAGATTGTCTTCAATGGGAGAGGAGGTAATTCCTCAACAGAGAATGGACATATGGTCAATTAAAAAGGAGAAATAAGACACATGGATATATAAAACTATGGTCATACAGTAATCCATTGAAGTGAAGTAATGACAGTAATCGCCACTAGATTCCAACTGAGCATTCTCTTACTCCATTTTTACCCAGGTGACACTGAGTTTTCTCTCGCTCTCTATTCATACAGGTAACACTTCCAAACCTTTTCAGTGTCATTGATTATTTTGTGAAGGAGACTCGAGGAAATTTACGGCCATTTATATGTTCAACAGATGAAAACACTGGTATGCTCTTCACTTAATTGCTATATTAAAGGAAACAAAACACAATTCCCAAAACTCTGCATATGATTTGTTGTACCAGCCAGGCAGAAACTGTAGTTTAGCCTTTAAATTTGTCCATTTGGAAATCATTTTGTCATTCAGTCTGTGAAAACAGGAAAGTACCAGTACGTATTGTGAATAGAGCATGGGTGCATTCTAGGGAATGGAAAAACCTGAGGTATGTATTATCACTATAACTTTATTCTATCATTCTACTCAGCTTTATCAAACAAAATTAGAGGTAAGAGAAAACCATAATCATGTAAGTTAATGGAAACTAAATGGAATTTAAAGGTATAGTCCATCAACAAGGATGCTTAATACAAGATAAAATGAATGAAGATTAAGAAGGGATGGTGGGAACTGGTGATTAGCCAATAGATGACTTGAGAGAGAAGTTTTACTCCACTATGAAGGCAGAAGTCAGATTGCAAAATTACAAGGAATGAGTGGGTGGTGAGGAATTACAGATAAAGATTGTAGTTAGGACCAGCTGCAGAATTTGCCAGCCCCTTGTTCATAAATTAAGAATTCCAAAAACAGTTATAGCAAACCATTAAACCAAACATGAGACCCTACACAACTGCACAGTTTACACACCCCTGAAACTGCCTCTTTTTGCAGTCCAATTTCTGTCAGAGCAAGCCAGGTTGAATGTAATAGTCTCTCTCTATCCTGTGCAACAGTTCTTGGTACACATGGTCACTGGCAAACTGTAAGCAGGAGAGAGAAAATATTTTCAGCTTGTTTGGATTTAGTTATCAAAACAAGTCCCTACAGATTATGAGGGAAAGCAACCTTATTTGGCTACCTCCACCAGAGGCATATTTGGATGGTCTCATTAATTAAAAGGAGAGTAAGTTTAAAAGTCCAAGTTCTTAAAACATGATTATGAATCTTGTGATGCCAAATAACAACAGTAACCAAAACCACAGAATCTCAGGGTCGGAAGGAACTTTACAAAATTATACTATCTTATCTGTTTAGAACTCACCTGCACACTCAGTACAGGAAACATCTCTAAGATATGACCGTTCAGCTTGTTTGTGAATTGTGAACGTAAGAGGGCTTACATTTGATTTTTGAAGGAGCACATTTCACTTCTGGACAGTTCTCATATTAGAGAATTCTTCCTTGATACTGAGTCTGAAGCATTCCTTCAACTTCCACATATTAATCCAATTTCTGGCTTTGAAACAATATGACTTAAAATCCCATCAAGTATTTTAAAAATGTCTACAATGTCTCCCCTTAGTTTGATATTCTCTTTAAGTTGTCTTATTTTTAAATATCTCACTTAAAATATAACCCCACTGAATAATAATGCTGACCATCTTTTTCTGTGTTATTTGCCATTTATATATTTTATTTGGGAAAGTATTTGTTTAAGTCTTTTGCTCATATTTTTTTATTGGGTTGTTTTTCCTTTCATAGTTAAGTTTTGAGAGCTCTGAACATATTCTGGATACAAGTTTTTCTTTTTCTTTTTGTCAGGTATGTGATTGGCAAGTAATTTCTTAGTCTGTGATTTGTCTTTTCATTATTTTAACAGCGTCTTTTGGAGAGCAGAGCTTTAAGTTTTGCCTCTGTAGATTGTACTTTGGTGTTGTACCTGAGAACTCTGCCTAACCTAAAATCACAAAATTATTTTACTGTTTTCTTTTAGAAGTGTTGTAATTTATATTTCACATTTAGATCTATGATACATTTTGATTTTTTTTTAAAGTGGAAAGGCTGAGTCACAGCTCATTTTAGTTGCATTTAGATGTGTAGTTGTTCCAGCCCATTTGATAAAAAGATTATCCCTCCAGACAGGGCAACTCACATATATAATCCCAGCACTTTGGGAGCACAAGGCAGGAGGATCACTTTACAAGCAGCCTGGGCAACATAGGGAGACGTTATCTCTCCAAAAAAAATTAAAAAAAAGCTAGGTATGGGTATGGTAGCAAATGCCTGTGGTCCTAGCTACTTGGGAGGGTGAGGCAAACAAAAGTTCAAGGTTGCAGTGCACGATGGCTGTGCCAATGCACCGCAGCCTTGGCAACAGAGAGACCCTGTCTCCAAAAAATTAAAAATAAAAATAAATGGTTCCTTCTCCACTGAATTGTCTTTGCGACATTTGTAAATATCTATTGACCATATTTGTATGGATTAATTTCCAATGATATATATTCCTACCCTTTTGCCACAGTTACTATAAGTTTATAGTAATTATTAAAATCAGGAGGATTACTTTGTTCCTGGCTTTTTTTTTTTTCCAAATTGTTTGGACTAGTCTAGTTTCTTTGCCTTTCATTATAAATTTTAGAATCAGCTTGTTGCTATCCAGAGAACAATCCTCCTGAGACTTTGACTGGATTATGTCGAATCTGTTGATCGGTTTAGGAAGAACTGACATCTTCATATTGAGTCTCCCAGCTGAGGAATGCAGTATATACTGGTACATTTGGGCTGTCCTTGATTTTTTTTCATAGTGCTTTGTTTCAGCATATAGCATCTGCACATACTTATTTTGATTTATATCTATTTAATTTTTTGTTGCCAGTAAATGCTATTCTGTAAAATTTGAATTATAATTGTTCTAATGTTTTGGCTGTGTGTCTCCACACAAATCTCAAACTGTAATCCCCAAATGTTGAGGTATGGACCTGGTGGGAGGTGATTGGATTATGGGGCTGGTTTCCCCCATGCTGTTTTCCTGATACTGAGGGAGTTCTCATGAGATCTGATGGTTTAAAAGTGGCCATTTCCCCTGTGCTCTCTCTGTCTTTTGCTACCTTGTGAAGGTGTGCTTTGCTTCCCCTTTACCTTCTGTCATGATTGTAAGTTTCCTAAGGCTTCTATAGCCATGGGGAACTGTAAGTCAGTTAAACTTCTTTGATAAATTACCTAGTCTCAGGTAGTATCTTTATAGCAGTGTGAAAACAGACTCATACAGAGATTTGGTACTGGCAGAGTGGGGTACTGCTATAAAGATTACCCGAAAATGTGGAAGTGACTTTTGAACTAGGTAACAGGCAGACAGTAGAACAATTTGGAGGGCTCAGAAGACGACAGAAAGATGTGGGAAAGTTTGGAACTTTCTAGAGACTTATTCAATGGTTTTGACCAAATTGGTGATAGTGACATGGACAATGAAATCCAGCTGAAGTGTTCTCAGATATAGATGAGGATCCTGTTGGGAACTGGGGTAAAAGTCATTCATACTATGCTTTAACAAAGAGACTGGTGGCATTTTGCCCCTACCCTAGAGATCTGTGGAACTTTGAACTTGAGAGAGATAATTTAGGGTATCTGGCAGAAGAAATTTCTAAGCAGCAAAGTGTTCAAGATGTGACCTTTTTTTTTTTTTTTTTAAAAGCATACAGTCATATGCATTCACAAAGAGATAGTTTGAAATTGGAACTTATGTGTAAAAAGGAAGCAGAGCATAATCATTTGGAAAATTTGCAGCCTGGCCATATGGTAGGAAAGAAAACCCATTTTCTGGGGAAGAATTGAAGCTGGCTGTAGAAATTTGCATACGTAATGAGAAGCCGAATGTTAATCACCAAGACAATGGGGAAAATGTCTCCAGGGCATGTCAGATTTTCAAGGCAGCGGCTTCCATCACAGGCCTGGAAGCCTAGGAGGGAAAAATGGTTTCATGGGCTGGACCCAGGGCCCCACTGCTTTGTGCAACCTCAAGACATGGCACCCTGTGTCTCAGCTGTGCCTGCTCCAGCTGTGGCTAAAAGGTGTTGAGGTACAGCTCAGGTCGGTGCTTCAGAATGTGCAAAACCCAAGCATTGGTGGCTTCCATGTGATATTGGGCCTGCAGGTGCGCAGAAGATAAGAATTGAGATTGCGGAACCTCCGCCTAGATTTTAGAGGATGTATGAAAATGCCTAGATGTCCAGGTAGAAATCTGCTGCAGGGGTTGAGCCCTAATGGAGAGATTCTACTAGTGCAGTGCAGAGGGGAAATGTGGGGTTGGGGCCCCCACGTAGAGTTCCCACTGGCTCTGTCTAGTGGACCTGTGAGAAGAGGACCACCATGCTCCAGATCCCAGAATGGTAGATTCACCCACAGCTTCCACCATGTATCTGGAAATGCCACAGGCACTTAATGCTAGCCCTTGAAAGCAGTTGTGGGGCTGTACCCTGCAGAGCCACAGAGGCAGAGCTGCCCCGGTCCTTGGGAGCCCACCCTTTGCCACAGCATTCCCTGGATATGAGACATGGAGTCAAAGAAGATTATTTTGGATCTTTAAGATTTAGTAACTGCCCTGTTGGCTTTCAAGCTTGCATGGATCCTGTAACCCCTTTGTTTTGGTAAATTTCTCCCATTTGGAATGGCTGTATTTACCCAATGCTTGTATCCCCATTGTATCTTGGAAGTAACTAACTTGTTTTTTATTTTACAGGCTCACAGGCAAAAGGGACTTACCTTGTCTCATATGAGACTTTGCACTTGGACTTTTAGGTTAAAGCTGGAATGAGTTAAGACTTTGAGGGACTGTTGGGAAGGCATGATAGGTTTTGAAATGTGAAAAGGACATGATATTTGGGAGGGGCCAGGAATGATATGGTTTGGCTCTGTGTTCTCACTCAAATCTCATCTCAAATTATAATTCTCAGGTGTTGAGGGAGGGATCTGGTGGGATGTGACTGGATCATGGGGCAGTTTCCCCCATGCTGTTCTCATAATGAGTTCTCACAAGATCGGATGGTTTAAAAGTGGCTGTTTCCCTTGCACTCTCTGTCTTGGCTATTGTGAATTGTGTTGTCATAAACACAGGAGTACAAATATCTCTTTAGTACACTGATTTCCTTTCTTTGGGGTATATACCTACCAGTGGGATTGCTGGGTCATGTAGTAGTTCTATTTTTCTTTTGTTGAGGAGCCTTCATTACTGTTCTCTATAGCTGCTTTACTAATATACATTCCCACTATCACTGTATGAAGGTTCCCTTTTC